TGCTGAGTCATCCATCTGTTGATAAAATGCTTTTAATTCAGTATCATTTTCTACATCATTTGAAGAAGAAAGCCTAGTGACATGTAGGTGCAAGAATGATTGAATACGATAATATATGATTTACATTTTCTTTCTTTGTTTAATATCCTTTCAAGAATTTTTAACTCATATTGAGATGCCTCTACTTGCATGTGGAGGACTGCAAATTTAGACCTGTGCTTTGGAGCAGTAAGAGATATTTTTCGTGCCAGCACCTACTGCGTCTGCGAAGAGGGACCTCGGTTTATACGGTCTCCACACCCACAGTGGGATTCAAACCCACGACGTAAAGATCAGCTCCTTACTCCGCAACTCTAGAGCAAACGCTTTAAACACTGCGCCACGCAGGCTATATTAACCTCTTGTGATAATGATTTGATACGAATTTCAATGTGACTGAATGTCAGGAATACTAAATAACTGAGTTTGACAAATGTATCAATTAATTAAAAAAATAGATTTTATTTTCATTTGAATTTTAAAAAATCAGACACAGTTTAAGGAACTATAATAAAAAATATAAATGTTGAGTTGAGGATCTTTCTTAAAGATCGATCCTTGGTAATTTAATAAACCATTGAATTTATTTTTTAAATGAAATAAAACGATTTAATGATAACGTACTAATTCAACTCATTTTTATGGAGACATATTGAGATGCATTTAAAAAATGCCACACCCATTTTTCAACTTTAGTGTTATACGCGTGCATGACCCACTGAATGCTGAAATTTAATCATAAAAAATATTAAAACCTAATTTCATCTGAAATCACCCTTTTGCTTCTTTCTTAAATAAATCATCTCTGCAGAGTTGTCAAAAACACTCAGTCCTGTAGGCAAGGTCAGTAAAAAGCTCTCTGGACCGATATCTTACAAGAAAACATCAGTCCAACTAACCGTCTGAAAAGTTGAGCTTGTTGCAAGTTTTTAAAAAAAATCGAGAAAAGCTGTACCAAGGTGAAAGTAACAAAAACAGCAGAGATGTCCACAGGGTGACGATGATCGATTAGAAGACACTCCCTATCCTTAGAAAAGATACTAGTTCTTGTGAGATCAAAGACTGTTGAAAATAATAAAGGACATTTTGGTGCTGTCATTTATCTTCCTTTATCAGTGTAAAAAATTAGGTATCTGTATCTGGTCTGACAAAACTTGACACTTAGCTTCAAAGTTTAGAGAAAAACAATAAAACTGTAAAGCACCTTCAGCTTGTTACATGGCCGTAGAGACCGGGGGGGGGGGGGGGGGGGAGGCGTGCCTCCCACTAATTTTGCCGATATATAGATTACTATAGTAAGCATAGATACTAATATGCTTGTGCCCCCTCAATAAAAACGTCTGATGACCTTGTTTGTTTGTTTGTTTATTTATTTATTTATTTATTTATTTTTTTGCTTGTCAGGAAATTTTTGGTAGTACCCCCTCATGTCAACTGAAAATGTATGGCTGTGCCCCCCCCCCCCCCAACTGAAATTGCTACCTAGTCATTTTTTATTGCTTAATTATAAACCTTTAATAACACTGCAAATTCCAGAAAGGGTCCGGACCCACCCAACTCCCTCTACATCACCGAATGAAAAAAACAGCTGGGTAGTGTCAATCAGGAACGCATGTGAAATAGCATCATTGAATACATAAAGGCGAGAATGGTCCTTTAAGTTGCATACTGGCATTTTATTTCAAACAAAGAAAAAAAGTATATTTAGGTGACCTGAGCCGAAGGCTTAAGTGAGTTTTTCTGACCAAAATGTGTCCGTTGTCTGTCGTTGTTGTCGGCGTCGAACACTTTTACAATTTATCTTCTCCAGAACCACTCGGCTAATTTCAAGAAAACGTGGAACAGAGTATCCTAGGGTACAGGGGATTCAAGTTTGCTCAAATAAAGGGGTAGGGTGGCCCACTTTAGGTGAAAAAAAGTTATATATATATATATATATATATATATATATATATATATATATATATATATATATATATATATATAAAACTTGAATAATTTAATCTTCTTCTTAAGAACAGCAAAGCCATGTTCAGTCATTTTATATTTTATATGGAAACATTCTCAGGGAGTGTAGCTTCAAGTTTTTTCAAATCATGACCCCGAGAGTTGGGTGGGTCAGAAGTTTTACACATCAATTCATATTAAAAAAAAACAAATTATAATAATCTTTTTAAAAAAATTCTCTTGAACAGTAAAGTCATGATAAATCATCATATGGAAGCATTCTCAGGTAGTGCTGATTCAAGTTTGTTCAAATCATGACCCTCGGGGTAGACTGTAAGGCGAGTCCACAATGGACAATAGGAATACATCCGAAAAATCTTTTCAAGAACAGGAAAGCCCTGTTTAGTCATATTAATATGAAACCATTCATCAGGTAGTGTAGATTCAAGTTTGTTCAAATCCTGACCCCGGGGGTAGGTTGGGGCTACAATGAGGAATCAAAGTTTTACGTAGGGATGTATAGGAAAAAGAATCTGCTGATGAAGAAAAGGAAAGACTATATTTACTCAGGTGAACGTTGTGGCCCATGGGGCCTCTTTTTTTTTTTAAATAAATGATGGGGGTGTGTGAATTTCTCGCCTTTTTTAAAGGTGTTGCAAGACTTCGCTTAGAAAAATTAAATTACTCATGTCTGCAACATCATGAGTTTTATTTTAATGGAAACAATTATCATTTTTTTAAAAATAAATTTCGGTAACATTGGTTTTCTAGCCTTGATTTCAGTCGCTATCGCGAGAAAAAGCAAGTAAAATGTTTTGAAAGTTCTCTCTGAGACACCTTCATCGGTTTTCCAGATCACTTAACGATGCCAAGGATAAACACTCTTGCGCACATTAAACTTAAAATCAAATTAGAGAATCAAAACATTTTAACTATAAGGTATACTGCAGTACACTATCATTAGTTTACTTGAGTAAACCAATAGTTTGATAATTTCAACTTGCTCATAAACCCAACAGTGTTGAAAAATAGAAATGTTTAACCATTTTGTATATTCACATATGCATGTAAAATTTCTCGGTGTAACCTCCAGGATCGACTTTAAAGATATTCGTTTCGTACAGCAAGAAACATATAGATCACACAATGTTTTGAGAAAAAAATCTTCCTACTGATTTAAAAAAAAATTGAATGATATGAAAGAATTACAGAAACCTCTTATATAGCAGACAAAGTCAGTTATCTACGACGCGCAAATGGTCACATTTGCCAGATGCTTCTTATAAGTTTTATCATAAGAATAACGCCGGTATATCGAACCCGATTTAATTCCAGACAACTAACTGAACAAACGGTCTTTCGTGTAGATAAATATACATCAATGGAACATCAATAGGCCTTTTTCATCACGTCGAGAACATCAAGCGTTTCCGTTAAGGCGAGAAAATTTCTTTCTGTTATGATTAATGATGAAAGCCCTTTATCACAAAATTCAGGACACAAATTAATGGTTCGGAACATTCTTTAAAAGTAGGTCAAAGGTCAAGCGGACAGTAACTTAATTTCATTCAACACCCTGGGCACTTAACAAATAATGTATATAGACTTACTTTCTAGGTAAAAAAAATCTGGAAATGTCATAGGTCAAGTTCAAAGGTCGTGAGGATGGTCATCTTGGCAATTGTTCCAATCAAGTCATGATCAAAATCCCTACCTCTACCACGTCTTGAAATACAAGGTGTGACAGTTGGAAGGAAACAACCCCCGCGCAAAGTGATCTCTTAGTGTTACTCTGCTCTGCAAACGACACAAAAATAGGTAGCAAAAGTTCCTTCAATTGATTTAAAGTGAAAGCTGTGGTTCTTCGAACGACACCTTAAAATGAATGCAAGGCCCCGTGTCACGGTTGGTGTTAGCAAGCTTAAGAACCCCACTGCTCAATGACCCTAAGTGACGAATAAATGTTATAATATTGAAGCCCTTTTCTATCTGGTGATGTCTCGTATTAGTGAAATAATCCTACAAGGAGATAACACTACAATAATCAATTATTGTCATTTTCTGTTAAATTATAGAATAACGATCTTTTATTTTATAATTGCGCATACAGTGTAGTGGCAGTTAACGCATGTGAAATCGGTGGAAAAGGGGGTGGGAAGGTAAACCTTACTTCCTAAGGAAGTAAAATTTAATTTACTGCAGAAAATGAGAAATGCTTAATATTCCTGCCATACTAAACATGAAAAGTATGCTAAAGCTTTCTTCTTTATCGAAAAGTGGTCCGGAGGAAGGGATGCTTTGAGGTTCAATCTTTTATAATAACATCAATGGACAATTTAATTAAGCTGGAAACAATGTATTACACAGAAACTATCCCGTCGACTGTGTATAAGATTATCGATGTGCAGATAAGCTTGACATCCTGTTTGAATTGTTCTGATTTATACTGATTTGAAAAAGATAAAAACAATCAATGACTTGCATGTTGTAATATTTTATATACAAGCTGTGTAATACGGTTTCGTTAATTTCTAACCTTGACAGAATTCGAATTAAATCGATCGGTTGCAGTGTTTATTGCTTAATTAATTAATCATTATTATTATAGTGTAGGATTTGTTTCAAATAAGACAGATATCTGCTTTGCACCTTAAAACTTAAAAAGGACATATAAATTAACTTTAACAAAGTATTAGACAAAATTTGGACGGTTTTTTCAATTTGAAATATTTTTCAAATAATGATTTTTTTTTTTTTTTTGTTATTCACATATACTTTATTTCACTTTTTCTAAATTAGTAAGTTGTATACATATTCAACAGATACAAATAAAATTCTCTTCACTATGCAAGAATGATGACGAAGAAAATAAAACACCAATTTTTCCTGTAAATGTAGTCCCCAAAATACCTCTGACTGAATAGAAGAAGGTTAAAAACTTCTAAAGCAAGAAATGCATAATTTATTTTATGCACGTGTATCAGTTTTGGTTTTAAATAGAAAATCTTGCTTACCCGTACGTCTTTATATAGTAGCAGTTCCGGAAGATTTTACTTAGAGTGGGATGAATAGCGGGCAAAACTAAATTCCATGTACTTGTTGTGATGGAACGTTAGAACTCAAGTGATTCTGTACCACGCTATCCTTAAGAAGCAGGCGCAATCGCTTTACAATAACGAGATATGTTCGTCGGATTTAGATCAATTAGAGTAGCTTAGTAATGTAGAAATGACAGATTTCTTGTGAAACTGATGATGATGAAGTATATTCCCGGTCATAAAATTGCAGTGATATTCTGACTGAATACAGTTATGTTTTGTTGCAAAATATTAGGTTATTCTGTTCATAATTTTTCCTAGAGATGAAATCAAGATAACACAAAGAAAATATGTGTCAAGTAATTTCCATATAGTTGGAAAATTTTTTCCTGCACTCTCTCATAGTATTATAACGTTGAGGATGTATTTCTGATGTAAAATTATATCGGTATGCTTTTCTGTGAAATTGATATACAGCAACATCAAAAAAATTATAATTGTTATTCAAAGAAAAGAGTAGTTTTTTTTCTATCCTCGGGCCTTCCTTACCGGATTGAAATCTAACGATAAATTTGGATTCTCTTTCTCACAGTCTGCGAGTTAAAGTTTTGTTGATTATCTCATTCGGAAGTTCAGTTGTATTTTAGAGCTATCTATCAAGAGGTCCACCTGCTACCAATGAAATCTACTGCGAAAAATAAAACGCAAATGAAATTATCGAAGTTATTTGATAAAACAATATCAAATACCTAATGTATTACACTTCAATCTTTGTGTTTATTGGTGCATCTGCGGTAAATTATAAGGACAGCGCCACCAGTCCATGATGTATTTCAGACCTAAAAACCATAACCTGACAATAAACAGAATTCATGACACGTATCAAATTTTGATACAAATTCAATTTTCTTTGTTATCCTCAGATGACAAAAAAGTTCCGTCTACACCGACTAACAGAGACTGAAAACTGTATCAATCAGAATATAACTAAAGCTGTCTCGTTGCGTTTGCGTATTGCTTTCCTTCCAAGCTTTTAAGAACTTGTTAAAGTTTGAGGAATTGTAAATGATGTTTGTAATTGAAATTTGTCACATTAACACTTTGATTCAGTAGCAGTAGTAAATATCTTCTCGCCATCGAGAAAAACTCATTAATAACTGAAGAAAGATCGATTTTAAAAATTATTTTATTTCATGTTTGCTAGTAAATTACTCTCGACTTTAAGCCATATTAAATATACTTCATGTAAAATACTACTTGTTTTCAATTTGGATAAGAATGGATATTTTGAAGGATACCGGGAGTTTATATTTTACTACATGTAAAAGGTAAAGATAAGGAACAGTGATCGATCTCAAAAAATCTATTAACAATACAAATATGTGAAGAGGGCATAAAACACAGACCCCTGAAAATTCCAGAGGGGGGATCAGGTACCTAGGAGGAGTGAGCATTCCCTGTTGACATTATATGTAAACATATATGTGAAGTGAAATTCCCTAGATCCAATTAATAGTATGCGAATTAAGTTTCAGTCTTTCTCCATCAAATGTTTTCCTTAGTGTTTGAACAACGTTTCAAACATCTGAATCTAATTTAATTTTAGCGAGAGTATAAAAAAACGGCCTCATTTAAATTAGAACAATCAGCAGGGGGAAGCTGGGTAAGGTAGTTGGGGTTCGTTTACAGGGTCTTAATCATTGCTGACGGACAATTTGAGCCTCTATCAAAAAAATTCCATCATTATTTGTACTTATATCTCACATAACATACATCAAATGTTGGTGACAGGCCAATGGCATAATCTAAACCCAATACCCTGATATTCAAAACAAAGAACAAAAACAAACCAACCAACCAATCAAAATAAGGGGCATGGGTCACAACACTAACCCAAGTCACAATTGCACTTCTGTTTAAAGAATTTTTTGTTTCCTGAACATTTTTTGACTCCATAGATTCTACCCTACGACTCGGGATCTTCAGTCTGAACTACCTGAGAACGTCTGAATGTTAACATTACAAACCATTGCCGTGTTGTTCAAAAGATTTTTAATATTTTCTGAATAAAGCGTATCTTCTAATGCAAAACTTTGATCTCCCATTGTGGTCCCTCCCAACTCCAGAGGTTGTTGATTTGACCTTTGAATCTGCTTTACCTGAGAATGCTTCCACATTAATAAGAGTGATCGTGGCCTTCCTGTACTTCATTAGGAGCTTTTTCAAAGTTTTCTATTACATATTTTTAATTAAAAGTTTGATCCCCATTGTGGCCAACCTTTCCGCGGTGGTCATGATTTGAACAAATGTGAATTCCACGGTGTCTGAGGGTGTTCGCATAATATTTTGACTAATCATACCCCTGCGTTCGTGATAAAAGATTCCAACTAAATCTGATGAAACTCCGATTCCTTACTGTGGCCCAACCCTATCACAGATGGTCAAGTTAAAACCATTCACATCAGCCCAATTTAGGATTTTGTTTAAATATACCAGTAATTGTCGCTACATGTAATTCATATTTTGAATTTATGATTGAAAATAACAAGCCTAGCCCACTTACACCTTAAGCTATGACGTATTAACCTTGCAGTTAGACTACAACGCTCATTTCAAAATGCTTGCAACGGCTGCGACTGACCTAAGTCGATAAAAAAAATAGGTAGCAACTGTTCCTTCGCCAAACGCTCGGCTTTTGAAGTGAAAGTTGTGGGTCTTTCTGATGAGACCTTAAAATTCGAGATTGGCAAGATAAAGAACCCTCACTGCTCAATGGCCCTGCGTGCCGAGTAAAGGTCTAACTTTGAAGCCCTTCACCGGTATATGGTTAAATCTCTTTATGAGTAAAAGATTGAAATTAAATGAAATAATTCTAACCATCAATGAATGAAATTATTCGTATGCAAGTAATACATTCACAAGAAAACGCGAAATGCTAATGAATACGGCTGACAGTCACTACTTTTCAAAGATAAAAATTCTAAATAAAATAATTATAAATTCTATAGACAAAAGAAGAGGAAAATGAATGCTGGGAAAATATCGGATCACATCAGCGGAACTGAATTTTATTCACGAGACTCTTAAAATCATCCCTGTCAGTTGTATTTTTTATATCTGCGTTTCTACCTCGCTATCTCGAGGAAAGGGAGGGGGGGAGTGATCTTGAAAATAGACCTGTTAATTAGCCATCATTTTGTAGAATTATTAAGCCTTAGCATTTTGAGAACTTTGTGATGAAGGGTTGCTTATGAAGGTGACGGTCATTTTATTTAGAATCCAAGACATAAAGCAAAACTTGCAATTAGAAAAAGATATATATGTATATATAGAGAGAGAAGGGGGGTGGGGTGAAAACTGTGATTTGGTCTTCTAAATTTGAAATGAAGGAAATAAAAATGCTCCCGCCTAATATATACTATATACTAGTATTTTTATTCAATAAAAATTCATTTCTGCGGCAAAACGAAGTCTCCGTCACCAGAGAACTTTTTTTCTGTACACTTCGTACTATGTGTATTAATCCAGTGCAGTCCCCGTAAACTACATACATGAAAATAAAATGAATAATTTTTAGTGTTTAAGAAACGTTGGTTCTACGTTTTGGGGAAATGATATTGTATTTCTTCTTAATCATATCAAAAAACTAGTAATATATAAAAGCTTCATAGATGTACCTTTATGTACTCTAGGAATATTACAGGAAAAAGAAATTAGGAAGACAAAGAAATTGAATAATTAATGGATTTAAAAAGATCAAACATAAACATATATACAATGTTTTTGGCCACTCGTACGAAGAAAATGCAGTTATGATTTTTTTTCCCAGTTTTTAAAATAGACATCGACATATAGAAATATCCGCACAACTATAGGTATTGACCTTTATTTCTGTCAAGTTTAATAAAGATTTTCTAAGCCTTCTACGAGAACTCTCCAATTTGAAAACAGAACTAGGGTGACTAAAAAACAATTAGTCGTCCCGGCTTCCTTCAGCTGACCATCAATTCCATTTTATGCAGAAACCACTTTGATACATTGAAAGGATTAAACCAATAAAGTTTTGAAAAGTTTGCTTTGTAAGTTACCGAGAAAAATGAAAATTTAAAAAAAAAATACCTTTTTCCTGTTTCCATGGCAACAATGGGCATTTAGGAATTTTTGAATGTTGACTGAACAAATATAGTGTCTAATCATAATTTCTGTAAATTTTCATCACAGTTGTCCGAGCCACCTGGGAAAAAGTCTGTGTGTATATTCACCTTTTTCTGTTTATTTCATTCCTATGGCAACTGTTTGCAAAAGATTCTAATTTTTAAAATAGAAATTATTTTGACAGAATGTAAGGAACAATCCCTACAAGTTTCAAAATAATTGCCTGAGCAGTTTGTGAGAAAATCAAAGTGTAGCAATTTTTACTTTTCTTCTGTTTCCATGGCAACGATGGGTTATCATTTCTATGAAGATTCATTACGATTGTCTAAGATATCAGTGAGAACACTTCTGGACAAAATTCTTCACTTTTCGTACGTTTCCATGGCAACGGTAGCCATGTTGAAACTGAAAAATATTTTCCGCATAAATACAGTTGGTCATCATCTTTTTATGGAAAGTTTCAGCAACATTGCCCCAGCCATCTGCGAGAAAGTCCGTGAACAATGTTTTCATGCGTACAATAGCAGTATGTCCCCCGACTTCGTTCGGGGTGACATAATAAGATGCATAATTCTGTGTATGGGTTTTTGATTTCAATCAAAGGTGTTGCCATGGTTACTAAATTAAAAACTAAAACTAGAAATTTCTGTGAAATACATTCAAAATCCTACTCCTCCTACAGTTTTGATCTGATCTCAATATAACTTGACACACAAGTAGACTATAATAAGATACACAATTCTGTATATCGGTTTTAGATTTCAATGTAAGGTGTTGTCATGGTTACTAAAAGTAGAAATTTCTTTGAAAAACTTTCAAAACGCTATTCCTCGTACAGTTTTGATCTGATTTCAATATTATTTGGCAC